CCAGAGCTGTGAGGCCCCTCCCCTCCCGCCCTCTAGAGCCGTGAGGCCCCGCCCCTCCCCGCCTGCCAGCTTTGTGGGCAGTGCGTTGTCAGATGACAGAATCCCACTCTACCCTGGTCTCTTCCGCTGATTCCAGTCTGTGCACCAGTTATCGCAGTGGGAAGGAGGGAGGACCATAGTGGGATCCAGGGCTGGTTGAGGGTTGCCCCTGCCCCCAGTCACCAGAAGCCTCTCCCCCAGCCTGTCCTCCTGGCCGCTATGGCAAACGTTGTGCGCTCTGCAAGTGTGCTAACCACTCCCCCTGCCACCCCTCGGACGGGACCTGCTACTGCCTGGCTGGCTGGACTGGCCGCAACTGCTCCCAGCGTACGTACGTGGTGGCCTGGCGGTAGCTTGTGTGTCAGCGCGTGTGCGTGCCTGAAGTGGGGGCTGAGGACCCGAGGCCCCTGCCCCTGGGTATAAAGCCTCGGACCTGCCTTCACGCAGGCAGTCATATAAGCAATATAAACAAATACTTACTGGGCATCCCGTGCACGCTGGCCGCTGAGAAAGCAGCATGAACAGGCCCAGGAAACCAATCCAGCCCTCCTCGGTGGGAAGCCTGGGAAGGGGCCACAAACTCAGTTTTGAACGTGTTCTTTTTTTTCTTTTGCATTTTTCAATTTATTTATGTATACGGGGCTTCCTTCCCACATGAATAGGACACCATAGAAAAGATTAGTCCCAAAACACCAAGTGAAATACATTTCGAAAAGGGGCAGTGAGAAGCTCTTACTGTGAAAACGCCTGGACGTAAGCTCACGGCGGGCGGGGGTGAGGGAGGTGGTCTTGGTGAAGAGTTTTTCCACAGGACTCAGTAACAACCTCTGTTAGGCTATTTGCTAATGCCAGGTGTGCACAATTATGCCTTAAGTAGTGCGGACGTTTACTTCTGTCGAGTTTAGAAAAAGAAGCCCAGGTGTTTGCAGCGTGGGGCAGTTTGGGAAACTCCCGTGTTGCTCTGAATGGCTGTTAGACAGCCAGGTGCAGACGCCGAGCGGGCAGCTGGGCATGTGGGTGTGCAGCTCAGCATTTGTGAGCCGCCCAGTGTAGATGCTGTTCAAAGCCTCGGCGTCCCTGGGGTGACCAAAGCTGCAAAGCTGAGGAGAAGATTTTGTGACTCTGGGGGCTGAGAATGCAGGGGTGGGGAGAGCGGCTGGGCTGGCCTGCCAAACAGGCACCTTGCATCCTGCAGCGTGTCCTCCGGGACACTGGGGAGCCAACTGCGCCCAGCCCTGCCAGTGTCACCATGGCGGAACCTGCCACCCCCAGGATGGGAGCTGTTTTTGCCCCCCAGGCTGGACCGGACACCTCTGCTTGGAAGGTACCAACAGAAGGAGAGCTCTATGCTCCTGTCCCCAAGTCAGCCCTTGCCCAAGGAGGAGACTGCAGTGTCCTGGCAACCTCTCACCCCTGCCTGCCCCCCTGGCTCTCTCCCAGGCTGTTCTCCAGGGATGTTCGGTGCCAACTGCTCCCAACCATGCCAGTGTGGTTTCGGAGAGAAGTGCCACCCGGAAACCGGGGCCTGCGTGTGTCCCCCAGGGCACAGTGGTGCCCCCTGCAGTATTGGTGAGTTCTCTAGGCCCCCATGGTCCCTAGGGAACCAGGACACCACAGGTACCTACCTTCCCTGGGTCTCTGCCAGGATCTGGGCCCTTATTCTAGGGCTTTTGCACGTGCATTGCCCCCAACGTCACCAGGAGAGCCAAGACGCTGTCCTGAGCAACCGCCCTACCCACTAGGAAACCAGGAGCCCTTCACCATGATGCCAACCCCTCCAGTGACCTATAATTCTCTGGGAGCGGTCATCGGCATCGCAGTGCTGGGGTCCCTGCTCGTGGCCTTGATGGCACTGGTCATTGGCTACCGTCACTGGCAAAAGGGCAAGGAGCGCCAGCACCTGGCAGTGGCCTACAGCAGCGGGCGACTGGACAGCTCTGAGTACGTCATGCCAGGTGAGCTGGCCTGGGGGCGGGGGACACATAGGAGTGGCACGGGGCTCCTGCATCCCTCCCTGGACCTGGGAGAAGGGAAGTGGGGAGCTGGAGGGAGAAGGGGGGTCAGAGGGCCGATCCCAGCCCTCCGGGGACAGAATACCCAGGCCTGGCTCTGACCGGGTAGCCCCCATGTCTGTGTCTACCTTTGCAGACATCCCTGCCAGCTACAGTCGCTGCTACTCCAACCCCAGCTACCACACCCTGTCACAGTGCTCGCCGAGCCCCCCGCCCCCCAACAAGGTCAGTGCTGGGGGGAGCCGTGCGCTGCGGACAGACGGATGGGTGCGCACCTGCTTCTCTGGAGGGCCCCTCCTTGCATGTTCCTCTCCATGCCCTTCCCGTCTCCCCTCAGGTTCCAGGTGGTCAGCTGTTTGCCAGCCTCCAGGCCCCTGAGCGGTTGGGGGGAGTCCATGGGCGTGATAATCACGCCAGCCTGCCTGCCGACCGGAAGCACCGCCGAGAGCCCCCTCTTGGGCGTCCGGACAGGGGTAGGAGTCTGGAGGCCAAGGCCTCGTCGTGTGCAGCCCACCATGCTGCCCCGTCTGAGTGTGTGTGTTTGCAGACCCGGTTCTGGGCCCCAGTGCTGGGGGAGGCTGGTGCCTGGGGAGGGGCCAGGGCTCTGATGCCTCACAGGCATCCTGCTCCTCAGGTGGCAGCCGCCTGGACAGAAGCTACAGCTGTAGCTATAGCAACAGCAGTGGGCCAGGCCCCTTCTGCAGTAAAGGTGTGTGCAGAGGGTGGGGAGTGGGGGTGGGGCGGCTGCCCTGGGGCTTATGGGCCAGGGCCGGCCAGAGCCTGACTGCTTTCCCACTCCTCAGGACCCATCTCTGAAGAGGGGCTGGGGGCCAGTGTGGCTTCCCTGAGCAGTGAGAACCCCTACGCCACCATCCGGGACCTGCCCAGCCTGCTGGGGGGCCTCCGGGAGAGCAGCTATATGGAGATGAAAGGCCCTCCGTCAGGGTCTCCCCCCAGGCAGCCTCCTCAGCTCAGGGACAGCCTGAGGCCGCAGCGAGACAGTGGCACCTACGAGCAGCCCAGCCCTTTGCCCTATGGTGAGCCCTCCTCCAGTGGGGCGGGGGCTGGAGAGGACTGGGACAGGGAGGTAGGAAGGGGAGGGACAGAGGGAACGCATATGGAGGCGGCATGACGTGGCAGCAAGAACGAGACCTGTGGGGTCAGACTTGGGCTCAGAACAGCCCTGACCTTGGGAATCGCGTTGCCCTGTGAACCTGTGAGTGGCGGCCCCTACCGTCCCGGGCTGAGGATTCGAAATGGGGGATGTATGGCACCAGACCTGTGGAGCTGGTACCCAGAAAAGTGGGGAACAAGGCAGGTGACAAAGTATCCTGTACGGCGAGGAGGGCAGGTCCAGGTGGCCTCGTCCACGGGCAGCTGGGATGCTGCACAGACGGGCTTCCAGCCAGGCACCAGCCCTCTGTCTGGGGGTAGAAGAGGCCAGGCAGGGAAGGGGAGAAGCCACCTGCCCCTGATCCTGTCCCCTTTCTGCCTCCAGACCGAGACTCCATGGACTCCCTGCCGCCCCTGCCGCCAGGCCTGCCCCCCAGCCACTATGACTCCCCCAAGAACAGCCACATCCCTGGACACTACGACCTGCCCCCCGTACGGAATCCCACGTCATCCCTACTTCGGCGCCAGGACCGTTGAGGGGCCACAAATGGTGGCCCACCTGTTCTTGCTGCCCGAGGCTGGGGACAGTGCCAGCTGTGCCCTGCCAGGAGCAGGGAAAGGACCGGCCGGCCGAGAACATGGGCACGTTTAACAGAGGAAGAGAACAGAGAGATGGGAGCCAGGCTCCCGGTTCCACGTTGGGACACTGGTTGGCAGGAAGCCTGCTTACCCTGTCCCTAACCCACCATTCTCCAAGGCCCCTGGGCCTGTGTACATAAACTGGTGGGTGGGGTGTTGCCGGATGAGTCTGATTTCATACTGATGTCTAAAGTGTATACTGGGAGCCTTTCCTGTGGACTTCAAGGCTGGGCTCGGTGTGCATGCGCGTGTGCATATGTGTGTGTGCGTGTGCGCATGTGTGGTTCAGAGGAGCCCAGGCACAGGCCCTCCCCTACGGCCCGCGCTGGTTAGTAGAGAGGCAGCCTAACTCCCTTAACTAGCACTAGTCTCCTAACTTGGTGGTACCTTCCCCAACCCAGCTGGCTAATGCTGCCCCTGCCTGAAAGCCTTCCTGGGCGCCCCATTGCTCCTGTGCCAGACTCCGAACTGTCAAAGGTCCTAGTGAAAGCTTCTGCTGGCCCGGCTGTCTCTCAGCCTCACCGGGACTGCGTTGTCCGCTGTCCCTCTGCCCATCACACTGGCCTCTCAGCCCTCCTAGCAGAGACTTCTTCCTGCCACTGGGACTTTGCACAGCTGGATTCTTCTTCCTCCCAACTACCTCCGGCTAACTCCTGCTTGTGCCTCACATCCCGTCCTCTGGGAGGCCGGTCTCTTTCCTGGCACTGATCACAGCTGCCTTCATTCCCCAGATACCTGCAGGCCTGCAGGGTGCCAGATACCCTGTAATGTGTTGTTTCTTTATGTGCTGCTTTGATTCATCTCTGCTTCCCCCACCGGACTGTAAGTTCCCTGGAGCCAGGAGTCCTTTGTTTATGCTCAACATTGGTTCCCCTTGGCACAGAGTAGGCACTCAATAAATGTCCCCAAAAGGCTGAGTGGCTGAGTGAATTAAAAGTAGTAGTGACACGGGTAGCATGGGCACACTGCATGCTCTGAATGAACAGACTGCATAGGTGGGAGCCTCCCCCAAGCTGGCACTGCTCCAGGGGGACAGCACCAAGGCTAAAGGGCTGGGAGTGACAGTGGGGCAGTGGAAGGGAGTGGGCTCTGGAGGCTGGAGGCAGGAAGGCAGACAGGAGAGGGGAGACAAAATGGGGGCCCTGCAGGGAGACCCGGCAGGAGCTAGACTACCTGAGGACCTTGACTCCGGGATTTCTAGGAAGCGTGACCTGCCGCATTCACTCAGCAGATCAATTAAGTCCCCAGACCACCAGGAGGCTAAATAGATGCGGTTAGAATAGAAAGCCAGCGCACTGTGGGTCTCTCCCGGCCCTTACAGGGGCTCTCTCCTAACAGGCATAGGAGGCGGACCCAGGGACAGGATCTGCCCCGACCCGGGCTCTCGCCTTCCTGGAGTCCTCAGACTGTCACCATCCCTGATAGGCCGGGCCAGCTCCCCGCTTTCCTTGGGCTCAGTTTCCCGGGGGACTTTGGATGGCTGGGCGCCCACCCTAGCCCCGGCCTCCGTCCTGGTGTCTAGTCTCGGCCCCTCGGCCCCGGTCTTGGGCCGCCCTTGGCCCTTCCTTCGCACGCGATCCGCGGGCCGGGCTCTCCAGCCCCCTGGACCGCGGGGGAGGGGGGTGTCCACGCCCCGACGCTCCGCCCTGGCCCCGCCCCACTCCTGCTCTAAGGCCGCGGCGCCCGGTCCGCACGCGTGCGCTCAGCGGTTGCCCCCCATCCGCTGGCCCGCCCAGCTCGCGCGGTTGTCGTGGAGAGGGACGCCGAAGCGACGCCCCTGCGGATCGCCAGGTCGGCGGACGCGGAACAGAGACCCCTGATCGGCCGCCGCCTGGAGAACCACCAGCCAGGGTCCTGCCTTCTCGCCCCGGTGAGTCGTCGCGGACCGCACCAACATGTCCGGAGAGGCGAGCGCACAGGGGACCTCGCCCAGGGCCCCGCGTCCCGCGACCCAGAAGTCGTCTGGCACCGCGAGCAAGAAGGGGGATCGCGGAGCCAAGGAGAAGCCGGTGACCGTCCTGCCGCAGGTGGGCGAGGAGGAGCCCAAAAACCCAGGTACGCTGGCGGCAGGGTTGGGGGATCGGGCCTCGAGGATGCGGCCCCGCTCGCGGGTTGCCCAGGTTGGGTGGGGCGGCGTCGTTGCGCCCCGCACGGGACTGGACGTGCAGAAGGACACTCTGGTGGGCGAGACGGACGAGCCAGGAAGTAATAATAGAATTTCTGGCGCTAAAGAGTGCCGTGTGGAAAAGGGCTCCGCCGCAACGTCCGAGTGAGTGTAGCTAGCTCCTGGCACCTGGTAAGAGCGTTACAAGTAGTCACATCATCAGGTGTGTGGCCTCGGGCACGTTACTTCTCTGTAGCGTGGAAATGTGAGTCCTGTCCATCTGCTGAGGCGAGGAGCAATGGAGTTGATAGTGAGAAAGCGTCTCATAAACTGCAGATTCTTTTGTTCCTTCAACCAGCATGCGTTGTGCCCCCACGGTGTGCAGGGAGCTTGCAATAGGATCCCAGTTTGACTCCCATCAACTTCCTGAATCTCAGCTTGGCCGATGTTTGAACTGAATTGACCTTAAAGGATCCACACTCTGGTTGGGGCGCCATTCAGACAGGAGGAAACAGTCCTGCACGCATGGGATTTGCATGCTCTGGGGAAAGAGAGCCAGGAGGAGAGTGTAAGTTAGGAGTGTGGCTCTTCATGTTGCAAGTGCTAGAACCCCAACCAGACTCTACCCACAGAGGGGAGCTGATTGGAAGGCTTCTCGATTCATAGCCACCAGCTTTGCCGTCGGACACGGACAAGAGCTCGCTGGCCCCGCGCTCAGGGTAAAACAACGAGGGAAAAGGCTTTGATTGTCAGACCTTGGGCAGGTGCCATCTCTTTGTCAGTGCCGGTGGCAAAGCTGCTGGTCCAAGGAAAGATCTTGACAAGTGCTGCTCTAGAAAGCGCTGCCCAACAGAACTTAATGTGACCTCGGCAATGTCCTCTTGTCTGCGCTTTAGCTAGCAGGGACCTAGCGGACAGTGCAGCTCTAAAACACGCTTGCTCCTGCTCTCCTCATCCCAGCACCCTCTAGCTTGTTAGAAATGCAAATGTGGACTCCACCTGGGCTACGGGATCCGGGCTTGCGAAGGCGGGCCCAGGGGACTGTTTTAACAGGCTCTCTGGTGTTCTTACAGTTCGAGAATCTCTTGTAGAGAAAGGTGGTGTGAGTGAAGCGAGGCAGGGCTTGAGGGCTCTCCCAGCAGAGGGAACAGCCCAGGAAAGCTGGGGGTGTGCAGGAGTCAGCTGGACAAGGCGGGTGAGGGAGGGGGTTTGGGGTACCCCTTGTCCGTCAGCTACCGTTTCTTGTGCGTTTGCGTCCCCCTGGGCTCATGAGGAGCGCGTGTCTCACCCCTTTTCTGCAGAAACCCTCAAAGCTCTCTGCATCGTGCCCCCCCCCCAGTCCCTCCACACCCTCAGGCAGGCTCCTGCTGTTAGCTGCAGTTTTCTCTGGGCACAGCCCCTGCTGCACCTGGGGCTGGGTGGTGTTGCTGCCAGGGCTTGAAGCCACTGGGCCGGTGTTAGAACCAGCGGGTACCAAGCCAGGCCTCTGCCTCCAGGTTCTCCCATTCGCCAGGGACACACTTCCCAGCTCCAGGCCCCACTTCTTCCTGGATGCCCGCGGGGGAGCAGGGGCTCGTAGACTCAGGCCGGGGTGTGGTGGGCATCTGTCTAAATTCATGCAGCGCTTCCTTTAGAACAGTGGAGTGGGGCAGGAGTCAGTGAGGTATAAATGCTTGCTAAACAAACAAAAGGCCGAGGCTCAGCTGGACCTGGGGGTATGTGGGGTGGGGGTGGGAGTGGAGAGGGCTCCTTTTGCTCACATCAGGCCTGGGGTTTGTTTTTCCGTGTGACCCTGGGCTAGGGACATCCTGTGGGAGGCAGAGGCCCCCCAGGGGGCGGAGAGCCCAGTGGAAGCGGCCTTGACCCATGGGGTGGATGGAGGGGCCGGCATACCCTGCGCCCTCTGGTCCCCTTCCTGCCAGGTCTTGATTTCCCACTGTTTCTAGTGTTTTCAGCCTTGCAACGCACCTTCCCTTTTAAAATGGTTGTAAGGCTGTCCGCCTCGGAGCGGGGAGGGGGGGGGGCGGGGCTGCCCGCCCTGAGTTCCGAAGCTCCGCGTGGTCGCGCGTGGGAAAGTGTGCGGGAGGCGGCCTGGGGCTCCGACCGCGGGCGCCGCGCTCCCTGCGCCCCCTCGCCCGCAGAGGAGTACCAGTGCACCGGCTCCCTGGAGACCGATTTCGCAGAGCTCTGCAAGCGCTCTGGATACACGGACTTCCCCAAAGTTGTCACCCGGCCCCGCCCGCACCCGAACTTCGCCGTGTCCTCCTCTCTGTCGGAAAAGCCCACCCTAGGTGAGTGACAGTGGAGCCCCGGTGTGTCCGCTAGGGCCACCACCTCGTCCATCCTCAGCCTCCGGTTCGTTGCACGGGGGCCGAATGGCGGGGCGCATGGCAGGGTGGGTGTGAGGGGGGGCTTCAGGAGGCGGTT